CATGCGACAATCTGACCTACGACCATACCCAGGCCGTTGACTACAACAACCCATGCGCCACAGGAGGTTGCCTAGCCTCGCCTGACTGCTCCTCGGGAGCCTGCCGTCTTGAGCAGCTCAATGGGCGGTGGATATGTTGCCAGTGCAATCGGGGTGCCAACGAGTACCGCTGGTGTCGCCATCGCAGGCGCGGGAGCCCAGACACATTCTGTTACCACGTCTGCTGCGCCGGTTGTCGAGAAGATTCGCGGTCTAGTCGCCGAATATAAGTGCGATGCACGTGTGGTGTCGAAGCCGACAAGAATTGGGGCAGGCGGGTCATTGAACACTCAGAAGGAGAAAATAGCGAGAAGTTGGGTTGGTGGCTCTATTTAACAGAGAGCAGGAAGGCGGGATGTTTGAAGCGTGGAGGTCGGGCTCGGATACGCTCAGTTCCGGTGATGGCGGCGCCTCAGCCCCCTCACACCCCAGTCGCTCTTTTCCTGCACCTATCATTGGTCTCCCTCTTGGCACTTGTTTTGTGTCCATCATTTCCTGCTCTTGTCCTTGTTTCTTTTCCCCAGATGGCTCTTCTTGATTCTGGCCATGGAAGTCGGGTGCTGGGTCTTGCTGACGTCGGGCCAATACCTGCCGAGGTGCTCACTTCAGCCACCCTCATCTGGCATAACCGCATGCGGGATACCGGAGGGAGAGCATGTTCTCGCGGCCACATACCATCACCCTTGCTTTAAGGGTTGACAAGTTTGTTTTCCAGCTGCGACTTGGATAAAACAGAGATAGCTGGCTGCGAATCTGGCTGCAAGACAGTTATGCAATGCTGCATTGCTGGGGAAATTTTCAGGCCTCTTTTTTTTTTTTTTCCCTTCTTTTCTGAAGTTGGTTGTTCGCGCCCTGGGCGCCTTTTTGTGTAACTTTTAGTCGGATTTCTCCTAGACGGGTCGAGATGACGGGTGTGGGTGGTTTGGACGGAAACTGACCGGATCGTCCCACAAACCTGTCTCGGATGCTCAATATTTTCTTAGTCTAAGACTAAAATCGGCGAGCTGCAGATTCGGAGTACGTAACAGTATTCAGTTGTCGTTTTGTGCATGTGTATCCGGCTTATTGATCGGACATGGAGAAAAGGGAGTCGGGAAAGTGTTGACAGGCGACAGCCAGTCGTACCATTCCGCGCTGCCGGGTGCGGGTATGAGTTACAGTCATTTTGTCTGGATCAGTGCCGCCCTCTGGGATCTGTATCCTCATTCCTGCCCTTTCTGTCTGGATGCTGGATCTTGTCGGTCCAATATCGCCGCTGGATTAGCCCAGAGAACAGAGGAAGCAGTCCGTGGACTTAAGCAGAGCCCTGTCACATGTCCGGGAACATCTGCGACTGTTGCTGCATCGTTGGAACACTCGACGATTTGAGCCTAGCGAGGAGTAGAAATCTCGTGGACAGGGTTGCTTATGCTGTGTGAGGGGCCCACTTTGGGGGATATCGAAGTGATGCTGCAGCCTCTTCTATCCATGTTGGGCCCCTCGGTATTATGCAGTTCGCGGTTGGCGGCTTGCAGTTTTGTCAGACTCGAAGGCAAAATGGGGCCTGAAGGACGAGGTTTGGTTGGGCGAGAGTGCAGTCACTGCGGTGATGCCAATTAAAGCCCCATAAATTTTGCTCGAGAGATGGAATCTTGGTTGGCGATGTTGTGGCTTTTGTCTGCGAAGAAATGCAGACTTAGCGAATTTGAACTCGCGAATGAGCCTTGTTCGCAGAGAGCCGCGGATGGGTGTGTGCCACCTCCGACTCGTATGCGTACGACCAGGAATGGATGCAGCTAGGCGAAAGAGGATCCAGAGCCGTGGGCAGGCTTGCACAGGTGTCACCAGGATTGGTTTGGGTCAGGTAGGTGCCTCATTGTCCTCGCCTTCTCAGGTCGGATTTCATGAGGTAATTACGATATTGAGAGCGCAGTTCATTACCTCATGGAAAGCTCCGAATTACTGATTTCGCATGAGACTCATGTATTTTACTGCCACGCTCTTTCCCAGAACTAGTTTACATAAAATCACGAGATCAGGTGTGCAGCCTTAGGCGGGAAGGTGCTTCCGAGTTGGGAACCACCTCAACAACGAGGGCTAGGGCAAGTGCGGGTTTGTGCAACAACCCTACAGCCCCAGGCTAATTTCGGTGGATTTACGGCAGTCTGCCCTGGCGTTCTGATTTGCGGCCTGCAGTGTTTGGATTCGTTCTGATGTTCACAGTGAAAAACACAAGGCTGCCAGCCTCCATTTGCCGAGAAGCACAGCTTTGAGTCAATACAAGGAAGTCCCTCCCGGAATCCGTCCCTTCTATTCTGATTAGTGGGCACCTACATAATCGGAGGACGGATACTTACTACACCTGGGTACCTTACCTACCTGGGTATTGGTACGTGATGTGGACATAGCGCTTTGGCTTGTATTCTCCGTTGTGGAACAAGACTGTCAAATCATAAGACTGCCTACCTGTGGTTTTCTTGAAGACTCATCATCTCTTACAGCACGCGTGACGGTAGGTAGGGATACTTGCAAACCAGCCCTAGGACATGGCACACAAGCGGCATACACGGCATTCTTGACCATGTCCGGTCGGTTGGGTCCAGCGACGCCTCTACCTTACCTAGAGTCACCGACTGAGACAAAGCCTCTAGATACGGCGTCATCAGATTGGTGTAGCATGAGCCCGTCACACGTGGCTTGCCTCTTGCATACTTTTAGTGCGCGTCATGCAGGTCTTGAAGACATCACGGCAGCCCAAGTTCGCCTTGCTCTGAGGTGTCCCTCACTGCCGGAAAAAGGAGTCTGTCTCCCATCGATCGATGGGGCCAGATACCCACCCCGCGGTCAACGGCGGGGGAGGAAATCCAGCCACGATCGGTCTGGTGCGGTGCCGAAAATCTTCGGACATTCAAGGGAAGAACAACCCAATAAGAGACATCACCAGGGTTCCGGGCCCGAAGCCTGTTTGTCTGTGGCATTTCGTGATGAACATGGCATCGTATTCTCGTCCTTGGAATAACTTAAGCCCGTCAGTCATCCTGAGGCGGGTAACGTTGCCGGACAAATCAGACGGACGGGCCACCGCGTCCGGAGTTGGAAGCAACTCTTATATAAACTCGCCATTCCCGACTTCCATCCCATCAAACTACATCCTCACTGAACAACAACGAAGTCTTTGTTGAAGGAACTTACTTTACGAGCTGCTAGGCTCTTGTCCTCTCTCAGATCCCACGCCCGCTACTCTAGCTATCTTCGTTTTACTGTGTCTAGGTAGCCATGTGCCAAGTGTACGACACCATTTACCCCTGCGGCCACGAGGAACGAAAACATAACTTTTGCCGAGCAGCCAAGACGGGCAAAGGAGGAGAGAAGTGTCCCTGTAATGCCGCCAGTGAGTACAGACGGACCGCAACTGCGGGCTGCTACCTGAGCGGATGCGACTATCTCAACGCCGGGAGAGGAAACTGGACGTGCTGCAAGTGCGAGAACCCAAACTCGGGCATTCCGAGGTGCGACCACTTGGTGCCTTGTCCAGACATCTTCAACGTCACCAGGGAGCGATATGAGCCACAGGACAAGATGATGAATTGCGGCCACGACTGTTGTCAAAACTGCCAGAAGGAGCGTAAGTCACCCCAACAACAGAGACCCGGCACTATGACTACTGAGACGGAGCTTCAAGCCCTAACAAAGACCAGCATTGGACCCCTTCGAACATCGAAACGATAATACTTGGCTCTACCCAAATCCGGATCTGTCGTCGAGCCCAGAATCGTGGACGCCCCCCTCTGCTCTCCCAGACGCAATCCCCCAAGGAGCGATGGCCTTGGCGGGACTGGTCTTAGGCGCTACAGCACCTGAAGGCAGCGCCTGGGACGAGCAGACGCTGGGAGTGAGGCTGCCTCGCGGAGTGGCGTCATTTGGGGTGCCGCCGAGCGCGAGGGGAGGAGCCCCGCCTCCGAAACTGCACCTGAATCTCGACAACCCGCGAAACGCGGCCCTGGTGCACGCGCTGCGGCAGCCTGGCGCTGTTCCGCCCGACTACAACAGCCTGACGGTGCCCTATCTCCTGACCATGAAGGACTCGAGCCCCGACACCGTGCTGCCGGCCGACTACGGCAGGCTGGACTATCTCAACTCGCTGGACACGCAAGACCAAGCCGCCACAGCTACTGCTACACCGAGAGCCAAGACGTCCGGTCACGGCCAGCGAAAGCCGGGCCAGCCGAAGCGGCGAGATACGGGTCAGGGCTCGGGCGGCGCGGAATCTTCGGCGCCGAGCAGAGCAGATAGTAAGGGCAAGTCTCGGCAGGACGGCCACGGCGCCAAGGCCCGGCCGGCCTCTTCAAAGCAGGCAGGAACTGGCGGGAGCTTTCTGGGCATCTCGCTGGATGTTCGTTCTCGAGGGCGGCATGGCCGACGCAGCGAGGCCCGGGGCAAGGACGGGGAGGAGCACGGCGACGAGGAGGGCCGGGCCGTGTACAAGAAGCCTCGCACCAAGTAGCCCTAGACCTGGCCTCCTGGGTTGGCTGGCTCCTCGTTCTTTCACCTTGTTCTGTTTCTTTCCCCTTTGTCTTTCTTTCTTTTCTTTCTTTTATTCTCGCTCTGCCATGTCGCACAGGAGCCACAGGTGATACAATCCAATATGTCTGTCCAATCTTCTACAAAAGCTGAACAAGGCCCACTATCGAGCACCATTTTGCCCCAAGCATGAACTCGCACAAACCCAAAAAATAAGAAAAGCCCCCATTGATCAAAATGACGGCGATGCCCGGCGGCGGAGGCGGGTTTCGCAAGGAAGAGGCGCAGTTCCCGCGGCTGCAAACAAATCACTGCTGGCCATGTTCCAATTGCCGGATACGACGAAGTGAGAAATGATTATTGCAATCCAGCAACGGCGACACGAAGGTTTGCGGGCCTGAATCGTTCCCCTATGCGAAAAGTCGAAATACTCTTGCCGCTTCCATCGATTCAGTTGAGCAGGGCGTGTGGCTCAGTTGGTAGAGCGTTCGCTTAGCAAGTTTCATACAACGTGCGAAAGGTCCTGGGTTCGATTCCCAGCTTGTCCAGATTTACTCTCTTTTTCTTTCTTTTTGCCATGACCTTGACTTCCGTTTCTCTCTTCTTATGTTCTTGGGGCGGCCTGTTTTGCTTTTAGCATTGTGAGATTAATCTCTTGTTCAACGTTGTCTTGGTGGCTGACATCTAATCGTGGGTGGAGTGGGCTTCAGCGTCGAGGGCTCGAGATATGGAGACTTTGGTGATGGTCGAAGCTAATTAGATCTGGGTGACAGTCAAGTGGGTCTGGGTTTATATGGAGCTGACTATTGTTGCTGTTATTCCTTGTCTTTGGAGCTAGTTGGGGCTGGAGTTTGATTTTAGTCAAGAAAGGAGACACAACAAAAGGGCAAGTCTGTTTCGTGCTATCAAAGGCCACAAAGTGCTCTCTTCATGCTAATTACCTATCCTAGTCGCACTATCTTCTCCGTTCTTGGCTCGGTTTCTTCCACTTCTTTACACAACATATCAAGACCCCGGTATTACACTCACAGCCACCAGACAGACACCTATCCTATCCCTCCCACACCGGCGGGCCGGGCGGCGTGTAGCTCGTCGGCACGGGGTAGTTGGCAAAGATGAGCCCCGGGTCGGTGGCCTTGTACGCGCCGGGGAAGGCCACCTTGTTGGTCGGCGTACCGCTGCCGCCGTCGGTGACCTTGACCTGCGCGCAGGCCAGGTAGAACTGAGCGCCGCCTGGCGACTGGGCCTGGTGAAGCGCGATGCTCTCGACGCGCACCAGGTAGGTGCCCGACGGCAGGCTCTTGGGCACGGTGAAGCTGACCACCTTTTTCACTGTTGCGGTGGTTGGCTGGTCAGCATGCATCTTTCCTCGGACAAGCCATGATTAAGATTGGTGCCTTACTGTACGTCGGCCAGGTGAGCGCCTTCTGGCCGGCCGTCTGGACCGCGTCGATGCTTGCCACCTTGAACCACACGTTGCCGGCGGCCTCCCACGTGTTGACATTGCTGTCGTCGGGCACGCGCGCCATGTAGAACTGCACGGGGCCTGGATGCGTGACGCCCTGGTCGGCGACGAAGCCTAGGTCACCACCCGCCGCGATGGTCGCCGTGCCCGTGCCGGCCTTCATCTGGAAGCAGCGGATGTCGGGCGTGCTGACGCTTGTCACGCCATGGTCGTCCTGGTAGTTCTTGGTTTGCCGGATCGACGTCCACTCTTTGGCCTCTTGCTCGCCGTTGATGACGAGCTTGGAGAAGCGGTCTTTGCCCTGTTAGATTCCTGGCTGGCGGCGGCTGGGTCGGTTGGACAACTTACAGTGAGCCTGGGCTGTTGCCGCGAGGAGCAGCGCGGACGGGAGCAAGCGCATGTTTGCGTATTTTGCTTGTTGTATCCAGCTGAAGTGCCCGTCCGACTAGGATACCACTTGGCGAGAGAAAGAATGGTAGGTATGTGAGATATACCAACTACCTCATTATCTACCGGGTGCCTCTTATGCAACCCGGATAATGGCGGGAACTGGCCGTCATGTGGCCGGTGATATTACTATCCGCACAAAAGGATTCATTTGCAAGGGTCACTAACCAAGTGCCGAGAAACCGGCGCGACCTAAATTAGCCGGTTGGCCAACTGGCGGCGAGCCCCGAACGGGTTCCCCAGATTGTTCCCCAGATTGTTCCCCAGATTGTTCCCCAGATAATGCCTCTCCACACTCTGCAGGGCGGGAAACCTTGGTCAAGTCTGCGCAGCATTGGTGTCATATTCGCTCTTCTGCTATTGTGGTGGCGTGCTATGGAATCACTAGACCTGTCTTCTTTCCTTGCAAGTAGCCAGCCGGTGGTGCTTCCTCTGATCAACACCCAACACCACACCACACTTGTTTCCCGCAACCACCTGCAGCCCACTTCAGAGTTCGGGCAAGCCAACAAAATCAGGACTGACATGCTGTGTCCCCAGCAAAACACCCGATTTGGCATGGTGAATCTCGAACTTGATCATGCCTGACCCCAGGACCATCTCGAGGGTTAGGTCCTTGGCACGGTAGAGTGTCCGACCACCGACCGCAGGGTACCCTCCAACCTGCTTCTGTTTTAGTACAGACGATGGGAGAGCTCCGAAATCTATCGTAACTGAAGGACCATAGAGGACTCCTGCGGCGAGAAGTCAGCGAGCTTCATTCGGGCCCGGCTTCGAACTCCCATCACTTAATTGTATCTAGAACCAAGACTTACTCGTGTCCCTTCGGCTCTTCGGCGGGTCGCTATACCGGCATGTCCGGAGTTTGACTTTCGAGGTGGCGTATCGACTGCTGAAGGTGCAAACAAATGGGACTTTGATTCGGTATTCTCTGTTGGTGACTTGGCCCTATAGTAAACATTCGTAAGCAGAGTCAGGTGGGGAAGTTGTCGTAACAACACAACTCTTGGAGGGAATAACTAAGTCACATGCCATTGTAGCGAACCAAGTGACCCTATCCAGGTTGCGAACAAGACCGTCGAATTCATCGACGCGATTAAAGGCTGGATCGTGTTTCGAGCTGTCGTAGATTTCGCCAAGTACTAGTCCATAGTGACAAGGCAGGACTCGTCGGTGAACAATGCCCTCCATCCCGAAGCAGACGGCGCCTTTCGCGATTGCTGCCCATCTGTATGTGTGAAAGACGCGTCAGCCACTCGAGTCCTATCTAGATCGTGGGCATCTGAGCAGAAGAGACACAAAGACACTCACGGCTCCTTTGGGCTGCAGATAAACAGAGGAGGCTTCTGCTCATCGTACCAGGCCTTGAGCTGCTGGAAGAGATACATTGACTCTCCGAATCCGCCGACAAGGATCACGCCCTGGGAATTATCATCAGCCGGGGGAAGAAGTTGAACACTTAACTATCGCCGACTCTGCTTACTGCTACCGGCTTAGTCGGCTCCAGTTTCGTGGCATCCCGCGAAACGTCCTTCACGAGGTCGAGCACTTTGCCGACGACGGGGTCGAAGATGGACACCATGTCCTCGCTGATTACCAACCGCCAACCATCAGCACCTAATTACACAGCGACTACCACGTGGAGATGCGAATCAGGGCAGACGCTACTCACCGCGAGAGCGTGATGTACTCGCCGTCAATGTCGTGTTCGGGAATGGGAACCAGTGCCCGGATGCCGTGCTCGACGACCTCGTCGTCGAGGTAGTCGTTGGACCCAAAGTTCGTCTTGACGCTGTCGAACGACTGCATGAGCCGGCTGCCGCGGCCGCCGTGGTGGCCGCTCAGCAGGTGGGCCTGCTTGCCCAGCCGCTGCTTGGCGAGGTTGAGGAACCGCTAGTCGAGCGACGTCGCACCGCAGAGCCCGCCCCGCGGCCGCGTCGTCTCGGACACCTTGAGGTAGGGCGTCGCCTGGTCGATCGAGTACGACACCAGGTCCTGTGTTTTTCCGTGTCAGTTCTTTCAAGGATGGTTTAGTCGGTGTCTGCTGGACTTTACCACTGTGCCTCCTCCTGCGTCGCAGATAATGACTTGCTTTCCGACCTGCCATCCGGAGCCGTCGCTGGAGCCGCCCGCGGTCGACGCCGAGAGCGAGTTGATCTCCTTGAGGGCGTACGATGCTGCGGCCTCTGGCTCCGTGACGGGCTCGATGATGTCCTGGGGGCGGCTGCCAAAGCCGGCCGCCTTGGCCGCCATCAGGGTGTTGTGCTGGGCGGCCGGGGACCACATGGCAGGCGTGGTGATGACGAACTTGATCTTGAGCGTGTCCAGCGTGCGGTGGAACCTCTTCGCCAGCGCTTGCATGACCTCGGCGTGCACCAGGCGGAGGTAGTCCGAGGCCATGTCGGTGGCAGATTTCCCATCCCGGAGGCACGATTCCATGGCCGGGTTGCCGGGGTCCAGGGTCACGGCCAGTTGCTTGTCGTTGTACGCCTCGCTGCCGGCCTCGGGGTCAAGAAAGAGCTTGAAACCGCCGAAGCGCGGGGTGCCGGCGCGGAGCTGCCAGCCCAATCTGTTCTTGTCGGATGGCCCATAGCTAATTTCTGTGGGAACTTTGGGCCGGTTCTGGTTGCCCGATCCGGGCCACTGCGTGATGACGGTGACGCGAGTGGGATCGGGGTCTGCGGAGTGCGTGAAGGCGACCCCTTTGTTGAACAGAGTCGAGTCAGTCCACAGCCATGAAGCAAATCAGTAGGTCGCTCACCTGTGTACGTCGTTCCAAAGTCCACTACCGACGGCAAGAACAAGAGTTAATTAGCGAAAATGGTGCTCGAATCACCCTCCGCACTTGACGGGCTAATAACCCACCTCCAACTACGACGAACGCGTCCGTCTCGACAGTCTTGTCGGTACCCATGGTGTGAGTTGGACTTTTTGGTCGACGGTGAAAGGATTTGTGAGTGTCTCTGCTAAGTGATGGGTCTCGGTCTCCCAAACCGGCTATATAAGCAAAACAGAAAAAGGGACGAGCATAGCCTTTGGAAAGAAAAGTGTGAATTCCGAATTTGACCGAGGGACGTACAATAAGCCTTTGGTCTAAAACTTGGTGCCTTCGAGATCGGAACCTCGGAAAAGGGTTGTTTGTGTGAAAGGTTCAGGAAAAGTGATTTTCTCTCGGCACTTTATCTCTCACGGCCGCATGATCCCAGTGGTCATCCCGTTTTGATACCTCGGAATCGTATAACTCGACTCAAATAGCTCCTGGTAAACCTTCTCGGCAACCCCGAGTCTCGCTGTCGCTGAGTCTTAAAGCTGCCCATTAAATGTTTATATTAGGGCCGGGATGCCCGAGACTGAAAACTTTTTGAAAGTCACATTCAATTAGCGAAAGGCAAAGATCCTGCAAGATGGTTATCTGGCAGGGCATGAGGCCTCTTAAATCCCCAGCCATCTCTCCCCCTCCGATTCCTCTTCCCCATCCAAGTCTGTTCTTTCTCTTCCAGCCATAACTTCGGTAAGAATGCTAGATACCTAGGCATATTTGGATATCCAACAATCGCCAGACATCATGCAACGTCCGGACCAGCCCACCAACGGCGACGTCCCGTCGGATGACGCCCCAAACCGTACCGAGTCCAA